TGATAACAGTCGAAATATTGATATACTATTGTCACATATAATATTGTACGTGACAGAGAGCGAATATAATGGATTTTTGCAGGGAGGTATCATAATATTTAAACAGCAATAGGGTTTAGGCAAATTGCGCTTATGCCATTGGCAACAATGAACCTAATCCTTGATATACATTGTATTTATATACGTGCATAATAATATTATGATGTGAGCCTATCATCGAACTTGCGGAAGACTTTAGGCCCAACAAAATAATCTCTATTTTAATTTCAGTTGAATCTTACAAATTCTAGGTTAGGATTTGAACACGGGACTCGGAAATTGAATGACAACAACCTTCAATATTCTTATTTCATCCTTGCTAAAAAAAAAACACACAATATTGTTTTAAAAAATGAATACAAATCGAGGGTGCTTATTCAAATTATTGAAACGGGCGCTTAAGAACATTTTCACGTTATGATGAGGGGCCCTTTTTCGAGAGGGGCACTAGAACGAGTCGCTTACTCGCGCGAGTCGGTACCATTTTGCAGCCTGCAATTACAAGCAAACCGTTTTCTTCCTCTGCTCCAGCTTGACGACAGGAGGTCCAAATCAAGAACCGCCTATAGAGACTCTGATCATGATCCCAGGTTAACCCCGTGGTAGGGATCAAGGGAGAGATTTTATGGTCTTTCTTGTCTGGTGAAAATCGTACTTTTACCGCAACATTATAAACAGTGTAACTGCTGGTTGAATAAAGCAAATTTATTTTTTTTTATTTTCACGATGACTGTTTTTTCTAATTTCACGGATATGATGTCTACCTATTTCGATTAAGTGATAAGCCTACCAAAAGTTTACAAACTCCAGTGTTACGTTGACACAGCCTCGAAATAACGCCATAATAATCAGTGGCAGATTCAAGTGGGGCCGAGCCAGCCCTAATTTTTTCAAAATTATTTTTTAAAAATGGAAAAAAAAAAACAACGGAAAATTAGAATTAGAATTTAGGTCTGAGAGAGCCATTTCCGGCAATCTAGAGGTGTCATAATCATAAATTTTCTTACCTCAGCCCCAACCATGGTGGGGCTGAGGTGGTAGTCCAGCTACACTCTCCATCTGTAAAAGTCCCTCTCTGGGCCCAGCT